GAAGATTAATTTTTTATGACAACAGAAAACGTAGTTAAGAAATGATTATGTTGTCGTTAAAAAACATTTAGCTCGTGACCTCCGTGTTACATGATCTGTGTAGATGATACGTAATTATGAGTTTCCGTCCTGTTTTATATCTGTTTATTGGCGGTAACTAAATTTTCACACAGCCGGCTACACCAATTTCGAGTGTTTTCTGTTGCCTTGGACAAAAGATGGGTTATCAGATCAAGATCACCAACCGCGAGAACGACACAAAAACATTCAATGCCATTTGTTCCATTTTACGACAATCGTCGTGGTTTCTCACTTGTTTACAGATGAACAGTCAGGCAGGATTTCGCTGTAGTTGGGACAGATCAGTGGCGTATTCAGTTACAGAAAAGAACTGTTCCTAAGGAACAGAGACATATTTGCTAGTAATATCTTATCGGAGATTAAAATTGTAAGACAAAGCCGTTTTAAGTAACACACTGGTATATTTAGACCTAGTTCGCTTTCCCAGGCGCGTTTAATTCCTGTAATGTCTGCAGAATCTGAGAGCTAAGTAGTAAATATGCATTAGGGAAGAAATCCCGGTCGAAAATAGGAGGGTTTCATGTATTCTGTCTTCCCTCGGACCTCCCAGGCAAATGTCAGCAGGACTACAACACCTTGTGATGAAGGGGACTGTCCTCCAGGCTTGATAACCCTTCCCTTCTGCTCATCTATCAACCTTCTTGCAAGAGTCAATCACTTACACCACTCCTGGTTGAGTGCCAGTAAGGGAGCAGTGACATCTGTTTTGCTGCGGTTGTACTACATTAACAGCAGTGCATTCCTCACGCTGTATTGAAAATCCCATAACCATCAAATTGTGAGACAAACTAACCATGTGGTTGAAACGCTTATGAAAAGCATGCTCTGAGAGTACTATAAATCAATAAATTCAAATCCCTTAATAACTTAAAAGAAATACTAAAATTAATCCACTAAATACAAAAAACAAAAGAACTCCGATAACTGTCGTTACATCAGACAACTGTCTACGCCAGTAGTTTGTTCTAGTCGGCGCAGGTTCCACGCAAGAAAGATGATAATTTGATAAGAAACAATGTCGGTAGATGGCACAATATCACCAAAGACCCATGATTCTGGATGCGATAGCGTACCCCCGGTTGCTCGAACAACTTCACACCACCACTGTTCGATAATCGATACGCCGTCTTATCGAAATGTTGCGAAATAATGTCCGCTGTCTGGCTCGAATACAAAGTGTGTCGTGAAATTACATTCTTCATTGACGCTATCGGGACACTTCGGCTATTTCTAAACTGTGAAACCGAACCAAGCCCCAAACGTTGCTCGACACAAAGTTACGCATTGCGCCATGATGGCAACGGTTCATTCCGTGAATGTTCTACCAATTTTACAAGTGTGGTGAAGTTTCAACTGCGACAAACAAGACTTGAAACATTGAACGTCTCTGAACTTTACTTTCCCTGACTCAAGTGGAAAACAACCATAACAATACGAGGGTCATTCCAGAGTCCGAGTCAGTCTATGCGGGATTTGTGGTGGACAAAGTGGCACTGGGAGAGGTTTCTCTCCGAGTCCTTCGGGTTTCCCCTATGAATATCATTCCATCGTTGTTCCATAGTTACTCGTACATCATTTGGGGGATGGACAGTAAGCCAGTTAGAGGCTGCAGATCCACAGGAACACAGTCTCACCGCATTGCAATAAAAACGATATGATAGAGAGGGACTGCTAGAACAAGACTGGCTTAACTGTGCACATCAACCTTGTCGAAGTAAAACCCAACGCAGAACGAGAGAAGAGGTCCCATATACAGAACTACAGATCTTCTCAAGACACTGTCATCATTCTACCGCCAAATAATGCACTTAACAAAAGTGCACCTGCTATAGTATGATGAGAAACAAATGTTATCTGTCACACGCGGAATACAGTACAGTATAGGCCTCTGTGATTCCGTAAGCTTTTTTCTGTAACTGAAACTGCGAGTGAAAAGAGATGCCTAACGTCGCCTTTATGCTCGGGGAAACAAGTTTTGCGATAATGCTTTAAAAAAAACGCGAAATTAAGCTTTTTTCGGGTTAATGATGTTTCAAGCGTTAACGCTTGTGAACCAGGTTTGCCGAAATGTAGAAACGTACAGGCAAACAGCAAGCCGGGAGAATAATGTTTTGGAGATTACTTTCCTCTGGTTTGTTGTAATAGCATTAATAAAATGTACAGGAACTGTTCAAACATAATTGGGAGAGAGTATGGGAAGAACGCGGAGCATCAAACTAGCTGCTGTGAACAGTGCAACGCTACTGTCCACAGACCAGGAGAAAAGCCCTGCGGGGGGAAGTCGTTTCTGGGGCGGTGCAGGGGGAATGTTTACTATCAGGTGGACTAGAGGGCTGCTATTGGTGGGAAGTGTGATACGTCAGAGTTTTACACTACTACACAGACTGAAAACATCAAGCCGTTAAGAGTAGCGTGTTGTGAGTGCACCTGTACTGTGTTCTGCGGGTGTTGCGATAATATTCTAGATTAAATCGCTGTGCCACTGTGAGGTAATCTTAAAGCTGTACCCATTCGAACACATGAGAGCCTGTTATCTGTTGTTCGTTCAGTGGTTGTGGAACGAATGCTTTTAGGATGGGTCGTCACTCACCGCGAAATCTTGCGCATGCGAGTATATCGCATTCCTAGCAGGGATTTTCTCCTGATCTGTGGACTGTAACTACCATTGTTTTTTTCAATAATACTTAGTTAGATTGTAAAATTAATTACGGCTTAAATTTTTCTTAGGTACTGAAAGAAAAACAAACGAACACTGCGATGATGCAAATAAATCACTAAAACTATTCACTGTACCTTGTGGAAGAAATTATTTTTCTTGGCATTTCGTTGAATATTCGCCATACCGAATAATGTTTTGAATAAAAATTGTAGATGTTAACGAATAACGTATAATGTTATACACAATTACTTTTATGCTCGATGAACTGTTTCTTATAAAATCGATATATGCCTAGTTCTACATGAGCGTAACGAGTCAAAGTCAAATTTGTTCGACAATTTTTAGTGTAGATCATCAACACCAAATTTACTGACATACTATCAGGACCTAGTGCATTCGTTTTATGCATTTCGTTCAAATAAAATACAACAGTGAACACACTTCAGTGAAATACACACATTTTCAAAATGCCTTCTTTGTCATTTTGCAAGCTTCATTAATCTTCGTGTTCAATTGTGGTCTTCTGGGTTGAGTAGTCTTTACCAATGTTTTTTTTTTTCGAAATGCAGGTAAGGCTACACGGTGTCGCAACCCAAAAGACCACAATCGACACACGACACATAACTAAAACGAAGTGTGTCCTGTAAAATCGATAGTAAGCATAACATAACCTAAAATCGTCATACTGTATGCATGGCGTTAGTAAAGTGAATCATCTGTCAGAAATTTGATAATAGTTTTATTTGAGGACACACAGTGTCCACTGAACGCCCTAATCCCGCACCATAAACATCGTAAACATTCCAGCTGACGAGAAAGAATGTTTTTGTGTTGAACAGTTGCAGTATTACCTTTGTAAACTGCATTGAAAGCAAATGATTTTTTATTATATGTGAAGATAACTCAATGGCGTCTGAAGACAGATTCCTGCCAAACGGATCAACACAAAACCGGCCCCGCTTCCTCACTCGTGCAATATCCCAGCATAGTCTCGCTTGCATTTCTTGCTATCACAGTCACCATCGTAAGAACTTACTTTCAAATTCTTCCGCATCGAACGAACGGCGAGCTCGTTTAGTCTAGCGTGACGGACATGGCTTTTGTTTGTAAAGAGGAGACGGCTAAAACGCTGGAAACAAGTTGGTGAATTTCTGAATGTTGAAAGATCCTTCACATTTTACTAAAAATTCTGTTTTCAAACTAAATATATTTTAGAATTAGACATCCTGAAATGAAGAGTCTGTACTTATGTAATAATTTCTTCCAAAACGAAAACACTCCTCCTACTACACCATTACTTCTTATCTGCTAGATCACAGGTTAAAATCTCGGTCTGGACTAGAGACTGACCATCTGTGACTGAGGGTTTTCGAGGTAAACTTCAGCCTCAGCAGGTACATGTCAAGATAGTACTTTAACCTCTATCATATGGGAATAGGGGATTTGAACCATAGTAAAATAGGGCATTGGGCTAGATGTTGACTCCAATAATAATGGTTTAGCAGCATGCTGCTGCAATGCATAGACAGCTGAATTGTGCATAAGCTGTGATGCACAGATAAGAAAGGCTAGATTAGGCCTAACCACTTCATTTATACTTTGTTCATCATCCATTAATTTTGTTCTAGCACCATCAGTATATAATCTGAGCTACTGACAGCATAATGAAATATGCCATAAATAGATAAACAACAACCTGTAACAATTTATGATTCAAGCAAGATTTCATCCCATGACCAGCATGCTAACCCATGACTTAAATGGCATTTTCTTGTTGAATAGGTATGATATTAATAAAAAGAGATTTGTAAGGCCTGAAAGTCTGTGCAATAGGAAAGTATGCTTCATGAGTTCTTCCTCAAACTCTCTGCTAATCATTTTGGAACTGTTACTTTTAAAAGTCATGAAACCTATTTCAATGACTTCTTACATAATTAAATTGTACAAATGTGATTTGAAAGCTTAGAAATGGAACTAATATACAAAAACAGACAATAATAATGTTGTTCCATAAAAGAACTTTTTTATTCATGAAACTGTGGAAGACTGATGGGGCCTAATTACTACTGAATTTTATGAATTAAAGTAAAAAAGAATAATACATAAAGTACGTATATATTTTTAGTTGTCATTACTTGATTATTCCGTACCTTTCAGACAAGTCTTATTTTCTGTACCTCTTCTACTACCACTGATTTTGATTAAAGCATATTGTACCAGTTTTGAGTCACTTTGTCTGGCTTATTTGTAAGAAAAGAAATATTTCATAGTATTTTTATTATTCATGTTCTCCATAATGTTACAAGCTTAATTTGAAGACTTAAAAATAAAATACAAACAAAATATACAATATTTCATGAATATTTACAATGCATGGCATGAAACACAAGTAGTAACTATAAACTTACAGTTCTGGTATCACCTATCAAAGTAATGTATATTTTTAATCTCAAGCATTCACATTAACCTCCTTAAAATTCATCTCTCATACTGGTTACCCGCAATGATAAATGATGCCACTTACCCTTATGTTGTTATATGACCCAGCCATATATTCTAGCAGATGGCATCATTGTTTTGGGGGCACCACTATATCATCATTAACATATTCATCATCCTAGAAAATTAAGCATTCCAACCATTAGGAAAACAATACAGAGAGGTGTGTTTGCAAAGTTTCCAGGTTCAAGGTGTCTTGTGTTTTGGTGCAGTCCTCTGCAAGTTTCAAAACCTGTTTCGCTAATGCAGCAACATGATGATGGAGTGCTTTTTAGGATAAGCACAGTGGATATTAAACATATCCAACGTGAAATGAGTTATGAGAAGTACTGTGATATTTTAGTCGCAGAATTATTAATAGCAAACACCACTGTAAAAGCCAAAATATATTTGATGCCTTAAAAAGACAATGCCAACAAGGAATAATATATTTCTGGATTTACAATTACTTTTGTTCTAACATGTAAGAAGTCTCGGGGAACTTTCCAGACACTCCTCAAACTTTTAAAACCAGTGAGTGGTTGGATAAAAAATTCTCTCTCTAATAATTCAAAACACTTGAGTTCTGACTAGAGATGTTTACAATCTTTATAAATAATGGCTGCCCTTGAGCTTCTTGGAGCATGATCACATGACTAGCACAAATAAATGAAGTGAGCAATAAATGTAACTACAGTCATATTCTTAATAAATTAAAATATAAATTATTAAAAATAAACCAACAGATATTAGGAGATCTGAATTCTCATATTGATTCCATTGCGCAATTATTTCTTTTACTCTTGGATAAAACACAAGTTTATAAAATATATTAAGGGTTCAGCCATAATGATATCACACTTTGCCATGGCAGATAAACACTCTCGTGCACTCTGGTAGCCAGCAAACATTCAGTTTGGTGAGGGAAATGTAACAAGTCTTCATGTGTCATGAACATCAGCAGCTACTGGGTGGAAACGACGGCACCTGAGGAAAAATGGAATCTCTACTTACATGACAGCAATTATACATGTAGTGACACAAAGTAGAATATGGGATGACACAAGTTTTGCAGAAAAGCATAACAGAACAACAAACAATGGGTACATAACAACATACAGCAGCGTTATCCTGTTTCTGTAACTGGAAGACTATTCCCACCTCGTAGGATTTGAGGTTTTCACAGCGGTGAGTCTGAAGATTGCTATCTTCTGGGTTATTGCGCTATGTGGTCTGGTAGATTTCCACCAAATCCAAAGTTGAGTTTGTCTTTGGAACTTATTCTGAGCAATTTTATACTGCTCACATTTTTAGAACAGTTTCCTAAGATCCGTTTTATCTTTATCATCCTTGTGTCACAATTTATGAAGTCCAACAGCTAGCAAACCGCTAAACTGTTAGCCCTAGACTACAAGTACAGCTGTCAGCCCAATATTATATGGATTTAAATCTCCTATTCCTGTATGATAAAGATTAATATAATCCTTCAAATTGTTTCTTCCAATAAAATACTTGGATCAGATCACTGAGAAGCCAGACCATCAACATTGACTATTGCAGAGTGAACATGAATGGACCGATACCTAGCGTCGTTCTCCATCGGCCTCATATCAGACAAGGGAGGTGGATGGGGCCGTGGGGGTCCACCTGATGAGTCGCTGTCTGCTTCGCTGCTCTCCTCAGCCCCTCGTGTAGTGGGGCATGCAAGGAGATGACTCAGGATTCCCCGTGGAGGAACAGACCCTGTGGACGCTCTGAAACATGAATTCAACTGTAGTGCACAGCAGCTTATACAAATAGTAACATGTACATATATGTTACACTTACACTTCTATGTACTCATACAAATTGTGTTCAAGGCTCTGTAAGAGAGAGCACGCTTTCATGTGCGTATAGCCATTTCAGGATTTTATTCTAAAAACACTGTTTGAAATGAATCACACAACACATATGTAAGGTTCCCATTACATGGTAAAATGAATAACTTTATTATCAAATCATAATTAATTTTTTAAAACCACTGGACAGCTAATGGACTAATTATGACAAGTTACCTAGCCATCTCCAACAGAGCTCTCACATGAGCCTCTTTCTTTCTGAAAATCATTGTTTTTGTGAATTTTAATGCAGAAATGGACACACAGATCACACTGGAATTTCTGTTCAGTTTGTGGTAAAATTTAATACAAGATGAGAATAAAATGTATGAATTCAGTTTTACATTAAAAGTTGGAATTAAGGTTCTCACAGTATGGTGTTGAAATTATAAAAAATGAATGCACCCACAAGAAGAATTCTTCTCAGGTTACCAGCCATGTCAGGGAACTGAAGTACTTCAGTACCCTGAGGACAAGGACAAACATGGTTCTTGAAATGTTGGTGTTTTCTCCATTAAACCAACTGACATGCCTGGTAGCCGAAGAAGAATTCATTGTACTTAGTCACTGTAAAAGCTTCAGATCAAACATGTCCTTTATATATATTATATTTCATTGAAAAGAATGGCTGATGAAATGTTTATAAATGATCACAGTTGAGAAAATTGCTCAAATGGCTGTTCGGAAATATTTTATAAACTTTTTTTCCCCCTACCTTTCACCCTGTACAACTGCCATTATAAGGAACTAACACCACCAGTACAGTACCTGCCAACATTTCCAATAAACCTAGAATATACCTGACTTGCATTTGGGAGATACTTGGTTAAAACTGGCTAAGACACGAGCTATCGTTGCCAAGGCTCTTTCTGTCATTTACTACAATCCCTCAATGTGAATTCTGGGATAGTGCCTTCAAATAGGCCATGGCTATTTCCCATTTTATGGTACATGATCATCCTTTCTCTTCACTCAATTCTGCATAGCTTGTGCAACTGATACAGTGTTGTTATGCTGAACTCATCATCATGATGTGGAAAGTTGTTCTTTTTGTTTTATCCATTGTCTAAATAAAAATTACAAATTGTAAAAGATGGATTCTCTTTTCTTCATCAGGTGAAAAGTGGGTAGGACAGAAAACCTGTCTGTTATGTCCCCTCTTAAGCTAACCTCTGGTCTCAGGTGTTTTTATCCTGTTTTGGCTGTAATTGGTCTTGTTTGGCTGTTTTCAAGCTTGTAAATAAATTAATTGAAATAAATAAATAAATAAATTATTATCATTCAAAGAAAATTTAACAGTTTTTCCAGTTTGATATTTACATAATTTTGGATTGATTTTAAATTGTTTCAATCTTAGAACACTTTATTCAAGATCATAGATAGCATCGCAATACTTTCTTATTAATGCATTTAAGGATAAAATAAATTCCATTCCATCATGTTCCTTCAATACCAATAAAAGAATGTTATACTTTCAGCATCACCTGTACATGATGACAATTCTTCAGCAAGAAACATCATTGCTGCAAATGACATACAGATTTTTTAACATATTTAGCAAAAACAGTCTCCTTTAAGGACACTTACCTGAAAGTGGAAAAGCTTACATCTGTTTTAATTTCTTCCTTTTTAGTATATTTTTATTAGTCTTGTATATTTTTACCAGGCTCATTGGATAAAATAATAATCATCATAATCATTTACATTATCATTATCATTGTTATCGTAATTGATACACAGACCACCACCGTATGACATTCTATTTTTTACTACAAAAACTGTTCCCAGTTTGAATGATGCCACAAAAACTAAATTTGTTATGGTGCTCTACGGTGATTATCGTAACAGTCAGGACCTCCACGAACTTAAAAAATCTTGGAACCACCAATCTAAAATAAAACTTTAATAATACAAACCATGACAGAGGATGACAATAAAGAAAGGTACAATGCAGTGATAAATACAGGGTGAGCATTCCAACGTGGCAGTGGATACAATGAAATTCTACAAAGCTTCCTCAGTGTGCACATGTGATATGATCCTCAGTACATTAATTTCTTGAATCTTATCAAACTTTGGAACTATGCCATTTGTTTGTTAGTGAGACTTTCTATGATTTCACCAAAGAGTTTGTTACAAATTGCTGGTTCTTGCGGTTCTGCGCTAATAACATGCATGTCCCCCATGCAATTGAAACTAGTCAAAACTTGGACAACTACTAATGAGCGTGTACCATAAAGGAGCGGACTTACAGTACTGGGGTCTTCACAGACAGCAGTGGATGTGGACTCTCATGTGGGCAAGCAAAGAAGAAAGCAGTCATGTGGCTACCAACAAGCAAAACGGAAGGGAACTGTTAGTTAGGATTTGGTGGCATTACTGTAATACAAATAATTATAATAAACAACACATAAAATTAAATATTGTTAGTGAGATAATAGATGAAATCATAATTACTTAATTATTTAATATAAAAGTGATAAAAAGCTGTTAGTACATGACAGTCCCAGACACAAGAGTCAGGAAAATGTAGATGGTGGTAACAACGGCAGTAGGAGTGGGTTATCCAGGTTATAAATAATGTTCTGATAGATAAATTTGTAAAAAGTGAAAATAAAAAGGTCTATGTTTTATTGTCATATTGTGTCAGAACTCCAAATTTCAATGGTATAGGATGAAGGAGAAAGAATAAAAGTGTTTGTCACACCCCTAGGCACGCACTAGATAATTAACTATCAGCTGAACGGTGCCGGGGTGGTTTTAGGCTCAACTGCAAGGTAGACAGATGCCTCGTGCTATCCTAATTCAGGCACCATCTGCACACATAATTTTAAAAAAATGTCGTAATAGAACTCTTGTGAAAATGGCTGTAACATAAAATATACTAAGAGTCTGAAAGGAATTTCTCTAAACCATCTTATATCCAAATAATTTGATATTTATAAGAAAATCACTTGCTATGGATGATCAAAGCATGTGCTGTCAATGTGAGCCTGAAATTAATGAAAGTCATAAATTTATAACCTGGTCACAAAAGGACGTCTACTATAAAAACAACTACATCTTTCATAATAGTTCATTGTGTCTAAGCTATGATTTATTTGGTAAACATTTTAGTCCACTTCTACTACCAATAGCAGGAAAACAGTTTTCCACAATTGAACCATGATTGGTGGGGGGGGG